AAATAAATAAATAAATAAATAAATAAATAAATAAATAAATAAATAAATAATAAAGAGCAAACGATCAATCTGCTGATGAAAATGAAGTGCTACTCTAAAAAGTGCAAAAAGAAAAGCTCAGGTGGTTTGAAGTCCTCTATTTCCAAATCCAACCCCATGGCACGTGTTAGTATGTGCCAAGTGATTCTACTCCTAACTCCCAAAGGAGCGAAAGTTCCAACGCTTGACTCCCCCTGACAAGCCGTTCACTAGGAATTTATCCACTAGGTAAAAAAAGTGTGTTAGGTTGGTTTTGTTACATTGGCAAATGGGTAGGATGAAATGTTTCACTGAATCAAGAGGGCTCAGCTCATTAAAGTAGTATTCAGGTATCTTCTCAACGTTACTGTAACTGCCGGAACAGAAACCGATTTTGCATTGGTATCTATTACCGTACTCGACGTCAATGACAATGTTCCACGGTTCATCTATGACAATGACCTCGGTCTCACAACCTATTTTGCCGGTGTCTCATCGACCGCCGGAGCTTTCACAAGGGTGTTGACAGTGAAGGTAAGGGAATATTTGAGAGTGCTTTGCCGAATTTGAGCTTTGAATCGCTCGTCCGACACCTATCCTTGCTCCGAGCCGAAAATCGGAAAGTAACTGATTTTGATAGTTGTTCTTGATTGCAGTGGCCATTCATACTGGTCAAACCATTTGTAGAATTTCAGTCATCAAATCTTTATGTTTTTCATTTAGGCTGAAGACCCTGACCTCGGCAATAGCAGTGTAGTGCATTACGCCCTCGATCCGTTATCGTTACATTCAAAGTACTTCACTGTAAGTCCGGCTGGTGAGATCAGTACCAAACAGAGTATGTCGCAGCTGCTACAGAAGAGCCGCATCAGCTATTTTGAGCTGCGGGTGAGTGAGAAAAATAGTTTCCCTTTGTTTGATCAGAGCAAGCGATTAAAGTGTTGAAATAAAATGCTTCTTAGCATTCCTCATCCAAGGTAACAGCTGTGATGGCTGTGACGTTTGATAGTCGACAGGACACGGTAGGGGCAAGTAGGTGCATCGTATCTAGACTCAATCGTAAGCACATCGAAAAGGAAGAGCGGAATTTGTTATCGCTTCTGCTCTCCAGATGTTCTATATTTGGTGGGGACGTAGGATAACTTAGATCTCTATAGCACTGGCACAACAATTTCATACGGTACATTGATGTCCTGTCAAGGGCAGCGGTGGTGTAGTGACAAGTGGCGCACATCACACACGCATGATATCTGCCTTGGCCAACCAAGCCTTCCATTCCTCCGGGATCAGTTAATTAGTACCAGACTCGACTGGTCGGATAAAAGCACTGACTTGTATATCGGCTACCCACCGCAAGCCATTGTGTAGGCCACAGACGCGTTCAATACCCCGCTACGATTCTGAATGGAAGTCGAATGCGTGGGCGCATCCCTCAGACGAGATTGATCCACGCCTCGAGACTTTATCCTTTATCCTTCAGAAAGGGCTGTCCTATAACCTCTCTGATCGACACCTCGAAAAAACAAAAGTGAAAAAGAGGAGCGGAATTGAGTGTTTCCTCCAAATGTGAGCCTTGGAAGGCGAAATGTTAACCCGTGCATCTTATCATACTCCTGTAGATTATGTGTCCTGTAGGTTTTTCGTGTATGTTACTCTAATGTTTCGCCAAGACTGTAGGGCCTACCGTGGGGCCTGCAGAATCGACCCGAAAAACAAAATTCCCGTGCAAATTCGCATTCTCCTGATGGTCATAGGTTCGATACCCAGAGGGTTTCAGAAAACAGTGATCATATTTGGAAAGCTCATCATTTTTTTCTCAGAAGATATAGAACGTTGACATCGGTTTATACTTTCCGATATTGTCTGATTGTTCAGGTATCCGCATGTGATTCTCCGGTCGCTGGCCAGCAGTTATGTTCTAAAGCTGACATTGTCATCAACGTTATCACCGAAGCTCATCGGTTCCGAATGATCACCAGTGGCTTGAACCCTCAACAGCTCAGAGCTCACGAACAGGTTTGTCGTGTGTCTGTATAGTGACTCCCTTTACAGTTGCTTCAATATTTACCTGGCCATAACGGTAAACTTCCAAATTGATTGAAATTTACCCACCAGGCCAAATTCTCAGCCCACTTTTTTCGATAGCATCAACAATTACATATGTCAGGATTCTCCTCGAATAAACGAACCAAATTTATCCTCCCTCGAACTTCACTCCAATCCGACTCCCTTACTGCTTCGGCTTTTCAGGACATGATCAAAACTGTCAGGCAGTTCACCAGCAGTTGCACTCTGCTCAGCATCGAAAGCATGATTGAGCAGCCTTCCACCGATAATCAGGTATCGTCACTTGACGTTTCGGATGACTTCTTTCCTTCTTGGATTAATCCGAGAGAAAGCTGAATAAAGAATTTCGAGAACATCCTATTTTCACAGTGGATTCTAAATTCCCTTACAGATACGAACTGATGTATACTGGTATGCCGTGAATCCAAGTACGAAGAAAATCTGTAAGAAACCGGAATACAGGTACTCCTAACAGCTGCTATCACTACAGATCTGTCCGAATTCATAATAGTTTTTCAAAATTCTTTTTTTTAAATGGTTTGGAAATCAAAACAACGATTGGTTACTGCAGGAAACTTTTCGAACCCTCATCAGTAGCCATGGTGGCAGGGAAAGTGCAGCCCTGGTTCCGTCTGGAAAATATTGATGAAGATGTTAACGAGGACAGTGTCAGTACAGCAGGAATATTGCCAAGTAACTGGAAAACTGCTAGCATTCGTAAGTTCATCCTTTTTTATTTATATTTATATTCTTTATACATTTATATTCTTCTATTTTTTTTACATCTTCACGTAATTACTTATATTTTGTTGGCCCTTATGCCCATGTCTTTAGTACTGGTTGGTCTAGCCGTTCTCATAGCGATTGGCGCTGTTGTTGGAATCTGCGCGGTCTGTGTGTTTTGGAGTCGTTTCAAGGTAGAATTATACCTCCTGGATATTCAGCGATTCACAGCAGACCAATTTTAAGCAGATTACTCTCAGGTCTCTCAGCATAGTGTACATTCTTTTAATCCACATGGTTATCCACAAAAATTGGGTACCGTATATTTACCAAACGCCTCGAACGATCCACGATTAGACAAGATTTATGAAACGCAGGTAAGCAATTTTTCCTTTGCAGCTTTCCTCGGTAAATTAGCCGCTATCACAAACCCATAACCATGAGTTCTGAAATGTTTCAGATATTGGAAATGCCAATATCTGACGAGGATATGACGATGAAGAGTAATTCGTTGGGAGGTGGTCGATTGGCAAACAGTTATGGTAATTATGGCAGGCAAGGAAGGTAGGCATTGAAACAGTATTTGAAATTACGCCTTATTTCTTTTTGAATCAACATTACTTGGGATTTTGAGAAAACTCCTCGAACCGGGCGGGTTGGAGCAGTAGGCCTTACTTGCTTGGGTAGATTTACCCCTTTCTTGACCCAGTGAGCGATTCGAATCCAAGGAACCACTTCGTAGGGGGTATGACTACTAGCTCGAGTCATATGCCCACCAATGCGCCCATGAAAATTTGGGCCGGCTCCCCCGAATCCACGTTAAGTTCGTAATTGAACGCATACCAGCAAACTGGGCGAGCTCGATAGTGACTACGTTCTTCAATGTTTTCATCAAGATTGGTTCCCGTCACTTTATTCCGAGAAAGTTCACCTGACTGGTCCAGCATTAAAGAGTACTTGCGAGTTTTGACATCACCAGTGCTTTGTTTGTTTCAGCATCGCTTACGAGGGTGACTTCAGCATTGAAGAGAACATGTACGCTCTCAACGTTCCCGGCCGGATCGATCCTGTCACGAAGTGAGTTTTTCAAGTTAGTTATGCTCAGAGGCCAATCCGAAACGATATAGTAGGTTTCTGGCTGAAACAAGTGAGACCACAAAACTGGGTTTAGCCATCACTAATTCAACCCTAATCGTATCTCCTTTATCTATTGTGTGGTACCTCCAATCTTCCTTTTACTTGGCAGCGACCCTCCCCTACCACCGATTCTCCCCTCCCCCTTCTTCAAAAGATTATTCTGCAGTTCTCATTTATGAGGCGATAGCTTGACCATCAGGTACAGGAATGTCTTCATCATCTGAGGGTTCACTAGCGTATTGAAAGGGAAATAGTTAGATCTTGATCGGTACTTTTCAGTCGATCCATGCTGCCAACGAATCTACCAAAGGGTAGGTTGCAACAAAGTAAGATCTGAGTTTGTTTTAGATTTGTTCTTTGCCTTAAGTTATAGCTTCCTTTCTACCATTCTTTAACTAACAACGAATTCTTCGGTTATCCAGAGCGCCTGACAGAAAAACAATCGCATCGCTTCACTTCTTCGTTACAAACCCCCCATTATCACTAATCTACTAGTTTCAGTTGAATTTCAACTAATGCACACCTTCTTACTATTTCAAATGGGCTAAATTGTTTCAGGAGGGTTCAAAACGTCGTGATTCCTGCACCCGATTACCCCAGATCCTTTCGCAATGCCGGATCACATCACAACAAAAGCCTCTTATAGATAACGTTCCCTTTATCCTTTTTTCTGGAAATCAGATCCATAAGTCGTTATCAAGACTTCAACACAACTAGTACATAAGCCTTTCTTTGAGAATCTCGCTGGTGCTTGCAATTACTGTTACTTGAGAAATCTGTTTTTGGTGTTCTTTGCTTCGTTTGCTTTTAGCCAGTTATTGGGGGCGTGCTTGTGAAGTTTTGGGCAGTCGAAGATAACGAGAAACACAGGTCCTCGTTAGGCACGTCATGTTCCTATCAAAAAGCTCAATTCCTTGTCTTCTAACAGCTTTCATTGATTTAATGAAGAAGTATTTCATTGGCGATGAAAGTCTCGTCCTTTTTTTGGATGAGAAGTAAGTATAATATACTTGTGCCTTGATTGTTATTGTTTCATGAATTGATGTATTCAATAAAGACTTGTAAATTTCATGTCATGACTGAAGGTGAAGGATCATGTCTGGCAACAACCTTCCGTTCCTAAGAGTCTGGTATCCACTTCAGTTCACCGACACCAGAAAGATGAAGACTTCATTCACTTGACCGTTGTCTATCTGAGATCCGTTTCCCGGCCCATGCGGTGTAATAGTGCGCATAGTGCGCCACTTACCACTACATCACTTGAGCTCATCTGGGGCCGTAAGGTATGCTCCCCCGAACAGGGGAAAGTCCCCTTCGCGGTAAGGTATGCTGTCGGGAAGAGCAGAGAGATAATTGCTTCCGGGAAGAGCAGAGAGAGAGACCCGAATCGGGGCGTCCCAGCCCCGAACAGGAGAGCATACCTTACGGCCCCTGCTTGTTCTGATTCACCTTATGATTCTGATTATTCCTCTGCTACAAAGCCAATTGCAAGCCCTGTTAATTTTAACGGAGGATTCTGAAGTGTATGAAGCTCCGGAGGAGCTGAGATGTGCTTGGAGAACACAGAATATAATTGGGCGATTTTGTTGTCTTTTTGCATCGAAATCCTTGAGTCGATTCTCTGACCAGGGAAGGATCCCAAGTCGAAGTGGCCATTTGAAATGAGACCTACACTGCTAGACCTGTTTTTGGATGGTGAGTTCAAATCTGCTTTCCAAATTTGCCGAGCGTTTCTCTGAACGGAGTTATGAGGGTAGTTTCAGGGAG